CCTCCGCCCGCATGCGGTGGACAGCCGTAACGGAATGAGTCGATGTATCCCTTAATTCCGTTCAAATCTAACCAAAAAAAGTCCGCAATTAATAAACAAAATCAAACAAACGGTCAAAACAGATACCAATCGCGTGATGGGTTGCCCTCTCAACCAGAAACTGCGGGTCGTGTACTCGTTGGGCGCCAGACATGATCTCTTCGCCTCTCATAAACAAATCGTATGAATTTGAATATTTCTAAACAATAAATAATTATAAAATGAGTTTCCAATACTGAATAGTCGAGTGAATGGTTGAGCACCTGATTGGAGGGGTCGGGCATTGTATAGAAGGGACGGACGGCGAGCGGGAATTTGTCCAAAATATAGAAGTCGGTGTCGTATTTGTCTTTCACCAGTTTTCCCAACAGTTTCTCGTTAGCAGTCGTCAGATCGTCTTCAGAGCCCATCTCAACGCCCACTTCGCGAAGCATTTCAACGCCTTCTGCGAACTCCAGCCGAAGCGTGGGTTCGAGGAATCTGAACGGTTCCGCCGGGAACTGACGGCCGACGGCCGCGATCTCATCCTTGTATCGCGATTCGAGTCCTTTGAAAATGTCGACGAATAGGGAACCGATCACATCGAGTACTTCGTGGTAATGGTATTCGAAAGCCATCTCGAAGTCGAGGCCAACAAATTCGCACAAATGTCTGTGAGTGTTGGAGTCCTCCGCTCTGAACACAGCGCCCACAGTATAGACCCGATTGAAATCAGCGGCGATTGCCATCTGTTTGTAGAGTTGCGGCGATTGAGCCAAATATGCGCTGCCTTTGAAATAAGTGACTTCGAAGACATTGGCCCCGCCCTCACTCGCGGCCGATATGATCTTCGGTGTGTGGATCTCAACAAAGCCGCGGCCTTCGAGTGAGTCTCTGAAGAGTTTGCCGACTCCGGCCTCAATACGAAAGATCGCTTGACTCGTAGGCGTTCGCAGATCGAGGACTCGGTTATTGAGTCTCGTGTCCTGATTCACACCGATTGCCAGTCCATCGGCGGACTCGCACTCGGCCTCAGGTCGAGCCGCGTCTTCGATCTGAAGCGGAAGTTTTGGTTCAGAACTGCTGACAACGAATAGTTGATTGACATGTATTTCCACTTCTCGTTGGGAACAGCTCTCGATTGGTGTGGGAACCGATCGGACCACTCCTTCCACGTCTATAATCGACTCTTTGTTAACGGAAGCAATGAATTTAACCATTGATTTGGATGTGGTTTGCGAGACAGCGGCTAAACATTGTATGCTATAGTGTTGTTGTCTTAAGACAAAAAAGCATTGCTTTCCTTTGGCACGACTCGTGTGTAGTCTTCCTCTCAACCAAATCGACTGATTATCCAATGCTTTGTCGACGTCTTTGACAGCAATTAATTGGCGTTTCGGCCGATCGACCGATTGAATCATTGGTAACAATCCGTACAATCCTTTGGATACATCCTCTTCATCGCCGGCATCGCCAGCGTTGCCATCGTTTCTCACATTATCTGCTCTCTCGCTCTTCTTCGCTGCCTTTTCGGCCGCCTTTTGCTGTTTCTTCAGCGCCTTCTTCGACGGATTCTCACCGCTCTTTGCCCTAAAATAAGACAATTTGTGGTCAATTAATAAGAAAATTTAAAACATATGCCAATCACTGACTCGTTGTTAACGTCTTTATTCTCCATGTCTTAAGCGATTGTCTTAAATGTTGACAAAACGTTAAGAAACGACAATTACTTTATATACTGTGATATCTGTGGCCAACAAAACAAGTGATGAAACAATTGTTTGTTATTTCAGAAAATTGTGTTTCAATTGAGTGAATGAAAAAACTTTGAGAGTTGTAATGGATTTGTGAACACATGTGCGAAACGCAAACCCATTGAACGCAACGTAAGCTATGGTTTGTGTCTATGTTTTGGTATTTTATGCAAACATTCATTCATTCATTGAATTGAAAGCAAAAGCAAACCTTTGAAGCATTGAATGCGTGAATGAATGCGAGATTTCATTCAATGTTTAGATTCAATGATTCAAACAATTTATTACTGAAAACAGCATTAAATGTACAAAACTTCTAATAAATGCATTCATTTCCAAATCGCTTATCACTAGAGATATGAAACTATTTTGACGATTATTTGAGCCATAATTTTATGATATTTACTAAAAGTCACTCTCATTTCAAGTATTTGTTCAGACAATTAGTTTGGTGTCAAATCAGTAGCCGATCCATGTCTTCAGGCAAACCATGGGTGGTGTTTGTATTGGGCGGACCCGGAGCTGGAAAGGGTACCCAATGTCACCTAATCTGTAAG